TATTAAAATAGATAAAACACTACACTGACCAAATTTGATTGTTCAATTGTTGTGGCCCATCCACACTCCAATGTAAATGCACACTAACACCAAACACCAGAGCAACATCCAATAATAGGAGTAACTTTGGTCCAAGTATTTCAGAGTCAAACAAGGGTACCCACAATCATTTAGCCGCCAGCTCCACTTCTCTTACATAAATTTATCCATAACTTTATATAGTATAAGACACTGGGACTAAAATTGTCCCATTTTTCTTTGGTTAGACATTTATTATAGAGAGAGACGACGAAATTTGAATATACGACCTTAAGGTTCAATAATAGAGACCGTAGCCACTGTAGGCCAACCGTAAATCTCAGTATCATTGTCCTAATAAGTATTGTTTTTATGCTTATTTGCTATATACCAAGGTGACTAAGAGTTGAATAGAATTTTGCAAAGGTTTCCTTGCTGCTCTTCTCTATAATCACAAACAAATGCTTCTTACCAAGATAAAGATCAAATTATTCAAGTTTTATACATGTAAGTATGTCAAAGAATCTAATAGTGGAAAGCTTTTTAGTTCATGGCATGGAAACTCCATTGCATTACAATTACACCAAACAAGCTAATATAATGGACAGAAAAGCCATAGAATGAGCTACACTATACCAGAGACATAAAGAAAGTGAGAAATCCAAATTTTTTCAGGGCATCCTCAACAACAGATAAACAACTGCGTGCCGAATCTTCAGTCATTGACATGCAGTTCATCTCCCTCATCACTTCTTTCATACAAAAAAAGAAGTAGCTGAAGAACAATTCAACATAGATACAATTCCTGGCACTAAATCATTAACTTCAAGCTCTGAAACTTCTCATTCAGTAATTAGCATGATGCTTGAAATGATGAGGAAGTCTTCTGTGAGTTGGAGTTCCATATGTTTCCAAACAAATGACAAGTAAATTAGGCACTTTGAATGAACTCAGTCAATAAATCTTTTACAAGAATGATTGGAAGATACTATCTCAACAACACATTGGGCAATAGGATGGGCAGGAGAAGCAACAGAAGCAAGAGAACCATCCTGTGTTAGCAGCTTTTGGGGTTGCTTCAGGGTTTTGGGGTTTCGTCTGTGGTTTCTCGGAGGCCACCTTCACTGGGATATCGGTTCCAGCATCACCTGCCAATCTGAAATGCAAACAGGACAATAGTTCAGCTGGCTGATACCAAATGAACAGGTTATTGCATCCATCTCATCAATCAAATAGTAAAATCATTTGACGTCACACAAATTAGGTGGACTACAGACTAGAACTGCATAAAGTTTATGAAGTCCATAATTGAAAAAAGCAAAACAGGAGAGTTACATGACATAGATAAACATGGTAACAACACACATTATGGAGGGAATAAGGAACCATAGCTGATAACTAGAAACAATATGGTCGAATATAGTGCCTCTCTAATTCAGATGGTGTACGAATGCTCAATTGTTATCTAAATAGAAGATTAAGGATGTACTGGAGGAGAATGCTTAGAAAATATTAGGAATATTCCACAATGCCTATGCACATTTTGTCCCTGAAAAAACTCAACATATGTGCCTCATTCACAAAAGTTTGAGGATGAAGAATCTTTGTCTAAGCATCAGAGTTAAATTTTTTGCAGAGTACACATTAAACAAAATTCAAAAAAGTTGAATGGATTCAAAGCAGTAATCAAGTGGATGCTACCATTCCCCTTTCCACACAAATTTTGGGCTAAATTGGGGATTCCGGTTGTCTGAGTTTTGGGGGTGGAAGTCATATACCTGTGTTGGGGTTTTTTTTTTTTTTGGGGAGGGGGGGGGGNGTTGGGCAGTTGACAATGGAAGGAAAGAGATCTCCGGTGAAGATTCAAGCAAGGGCTCTCTTGAGAAAGTTCGGAATGACAAAATAAGAAAATGGGAGAGGAAGTCCATTTATATAGTACCAATCTCATCATTGGGCGCGAAGCACNGGTAAGGTTGCATACATCTAACCCTCCAATGGTGGGAGACTCGTGCATTGGGTATGCGCCAAATTACAACTATTATCGCATTGTTCGATTGCAATTTGGGCAGATTTGAATTCAATAGAACCGAGAATTGCACAAAAGGATTGAATCAATAATCGACATTGNATCCTAAGCAGGGGAAAACGACTAAACGCAATGATGAAGCAGTTGGGGTTGTTGTAAAACCCTTCGTCTCCTTACGACGCGTGTCCTCGGCGTCAGAAGATCGAAGGCTGGGGGGCAGTTGATGAGACATTTCTGAAATACTCCAAGATGAAGACACGTGTCATCGGTGTCACTAAATCCTGTTATTGAGATCACGTACCATCGGCTCACAAAGTCCCTCTCCCCCGGGGTACTTTGTCATAAGGATCAAATGGCATCCAGTACGTTTATGAACCGACACGTATCCCTCGGTCTGATATGGGTACATCGGTCGCTATATACACCTCCCCTCGGCTCCGAGATGAACTTCCCCCTCGAGTCCGAGATGTATCTTCGTCCAGGATGGCGTTCTCTGCTCCTACAGAGACTATTGATGTACAGGTCACTAGCCTAGGCTAGGCTAGGTTAGCTATCATGACCTCGTCTTACACAATTGGTGTCAGAAGGCACAGGAAGGCAGGGGCCACAGCCAATGGGGAATGGACGCGTGGCATATTGTGTCACATCAGAGACAGAAAGACCGCATG